TTGTATTGTATCGTTTTATGAATATAACGTTTGGATAGATTGTATTGTTTGTTATTGTTAAATAACATTTTACTGTTTGATTTGATTGTATCGTACTGTACTGTAACTCATAAGTTTACTAAAGTACCTTTAATTATTTTAAATATTAAATTTATCAAGAATTACGCATAAAAATAATTTAAGAAAATCTCTTTCTACTAAAATCAAAGATTAACTATCATTAGAAAAAAATAAAATAAAGAACGATGATAGAGAAACGAACGAAGAACATGCGAAGAACAAAGGAACGAAGATAAATAAGTAAGACTTCGCACACTTGAAAACAACCAATAGTATATAGCTAATTGAAGATTAAAGTAATTAGAATTGGAGTTAAAATCAAAGTAGGAGAAAAACGAAACAAAAAGAAGGCAAAACATATTCTTACTACCTTTGATGTTGGAGTTGGGAATAGTAAGCGTTAGAAGGAAAAAGGGGACGAAGACAACGTAGGTTAAAGACTAGAGATTTGAAGTTAAAAAAAAAAGAGGTAAAGGGTAATTAATTTTAAAGTAATAAGTTAGGGCATAATTGGAAAGAAAAATAGGAAACAATCCCACCACACCAAATCGGTTGTTTCAAAAAATGAGACTTTTTATTGTTCCGAAATAATGAATTTAACAATACAATACAATCAATTTTAACTAAACAATCAAAATAAACATTGTTTTGAAATAACAATACAATACGATACAACGGATAACAGCTCCAAACAAGCTGGTACGTACTGTAGTGAGGGCATAAAGAGGTTCGCTTGGTACGTTATTGTTGGATCATCAAACTAGAAAATAAGGTATTGACATTGTCTCAGTCTTATCCTCATTTTCACGTGCCAGTACTTCCTTTGCTTTGTTGGGGAAATTCTAATTATTGTTTGGTCCCATGCACCTCTGCTTGCCGTGCTATTGTGGTTAAAACAGTTGGCTTGTCATATTGCTCATCATTTTTGTTGTCCTCCTTCCCCAACTCTATAAGTCTACTAATATTAGAACCACTAAATTAATTTGTTGCAGTGGATTTAAACTTAATTAGTATAACCATAAATTTGTTTTAAAATTGTTCAAGGCTTCAAGCTATGTTTTGTCCGTGTACTATCTGCCCCTGTATAGACCCATTGAACATTTATCAGTGTATAAGCAACCACTAATACTTGCATTATAATAAGTTGTCTACATCACACCCCTTGAGTCGCCCTTGAGGTGCGATTCTTTCCCGAACTCTGCATAAATACAGGATGCCTTGTGCCCCGGACTACCCTTTTAGTATATAGGGTTGTCCAAGTTTCGTTAGACACATCGCAACAGATAAATGTAAATCAAGATCCTTGCAGTGTTATCAAAGGCGAAAAAGGCAAAAAGAAGCTCTAAAGTCTGTTGGGGCTTTAAGCGCAAAGCGCATATAAAGCGTGGACTTTAATGAAAAAAGACGCAAATGGAAAAAAAAACTACAAATATGCATGTGTAGTCTAAGACTAATAACTATAAGCATGAATACCAAATACATGGACAAAGGAAAAAAAAATTACGATAAAGTGAAATATCAATTGTAGTGTCGCCACTTCAAGATTACGCTTATTGGCAAGGAAAAGTAAGCTTTAGAGCCTTGATGACAACACTAAAGCGTCCGCTAAGCGCTCAACATGTTCTGAGCCTCGCTTCAGGGCTTAAGCGCGCATTTGATAACACCGAATCCTTGGGAGATTATGCCTTCATTATGCAACTGAGATTAAGCTTTAATTATGACTAAGAAGAAAATATGAATGGCTCCAATTTCTTGCGAGTTGTCAATTTAGGGACTGAAATCTATCAAGTATCGCAATATCTAGGCAAATTAGTTAGCTTTTATGGCTATAATAGGATTTTTGTCAAGAATCTGTTTCCAACTAGAATCCAGGAAACTTACTCGGTTGTCTTCTGTACCCCGGATAGCTCTGCCACAAGTAAGTAGTAGTAACTCTTAGATTGAGTTTCTTGACTATAAAAATTTCTAGATACAAAAAACTTAAAAACAAAGTCTTATAGATATAGCACACTAGCCTGATAGGTAGATATTGTAATTAAAATTGAAGGATTGTGTGGGGATAAATCATAAACAGAGCAGAGCAAACATTGGGAACTTGGTGAAGGACCACAATATGGTAGGCACACTTGCATGACAAGCCTGCAATTCTTGCTCGGAGTCAGTCTAGAATTTCTGAGTCATCTGTTTCCTTGCTAGAGCAAATCGATGTGTATAAATGCAAAGGTACAATATAGTGTACCGTTAATGAATCCACCTTTCTTTTTACTTTTGTATTAACCATAGTCTGTCCCGATAGCGAGTTTAAGGAGAGGGGGAGATAAGCTAAGAAGGAGTGGGAAGAGGTAATTAGATAGGACATGGCTATCCTCAACTTACCGAGGAGATAACCCTCGATAGGAGGGTGTAGAGGTCAAAAATTAGGGTAGAAGATTAGTGGTCAAGCGTCTTTCCTGTCCATTGTAGTAGTCAATTCAGGGACCATTGTGAAATCTATCAAATGTACCGCGGTATCTGATGTTGTTTCTGCCTCGATTTTATTCTTACCCTGATGTTGTTACTATTCCCTTTTCCTTCTTTATTACTGCATTTCTCGATTCTTAACTGTTGTGCTTATGCTTGCCTGAGCTGGGTGATAAATAATGAAAAATGCATGTTTTTTAGTATGTTTGCATATTATTTCTTATGTGAGTTGCGGGAGATTACACGTTTATAAACGTATAATATGCTCATTACATGTTTTTTGTGTGTAGAAATGAATTTGGATGGAAGTTGGCGAGAATTGGATGAGTTAATGCAAAAAGAGTAGAGATGCAAGACATGGGAGCGTGCCACAATTAGTGCATTGCATGAAAGTAGGCGCGAAATGGCCTAGGGAATGAACAAAAAAATAGTGCACTGTGGAGGTTGGCACTGGACCTGGCACGCAAAAGAACAAAGAAGAAGAAAAAGTAGCTGGGAGCGTGCTAGAAGTCGCCGCGTTGCACCAACTCTAGCACGCGACTTAGTGTGTTCTTTTTCGAATTATGAGAGATCAATGACGCCCCACATCCACCCTAATTGATATAAATACATCATAAAAATGTCCTTTTGAGGGGGAGACGCTACTATAGGGTTAGACAACACCCAAAGAGGCAAGAATACGCTGGGAGCAAGAAGGAAAATTCAACCACGAGTTTTTCCTTTCTTCTTCCTATTTTTCATTGTTGGTTATGACTTTTAGTATTGTAGTTTTACATACTATTATGAGTCGCTAATTTATCATCTAGAGTTTTGATGGAACCTCTTGGAGGATGAGTTCCTGTTATATTTTAATATAATTTAACCTTTGGATTTATCTACTTGTCCAACTTTCGTGCTCATTTCAGGTGATTGAATGGTCATCAATTGACTATGCCTATATAGTATGTGTCGCTTGAGAAAGGATATATATTTAGGTGTTTGTTGAACAACGTCACTCCTAAGGTATATGAGAGATCAATACGGCGGATTTAAAAGCGGGATTAGAGATAACGAAGCTTTGACGTGATCCTAGTGAGCGGTGAAAAAGTGCGAGCTAACGTAGTTCGAGAGAATATGACTAGTACATTATTGTAATTGCTCGAGAGAGAATTACGATAAGTCGAGTGCTCATGATCAGTAGAGGATAATTAGGCGAAATTATAGAACATAACAGGAAGGACTCCGGTAATTGGGGAAATCATAACTCTAGAACTCCTTAATTTAGTCACCAACCCTTAGTATCTGTATTTGTTAATTTACTACTTTAATTTGTTAACTAATTAGTTAGACAAAATAATCTTAATCTTTATAACTTAGGAATTGTTCAAGATTGCCTTCTTAGGTGATACTAAACAGTTATAGCGAAACCTTAGTTCTCTGTGGGGTTTGACTCTGGACTCTTAGACCGAATTATATTTGCAGCGACCGCTTATCCTTTTTAGGACTAGAGTTGGGCATGTTCACCGGGGATCTATCGAAAACCTCTCTACTAGCATAAGATAGAGGTAAGATCTGCATTTACACTACCCAGGCCCCATTTTTAAAATTATACTGGATATGTTATTGTTGGTTAGTCTATCCCAAAAGTTCGACTACTAACTTAAGGGTCAATTGATTTTGTGGCCAAATGAAAATTTCTTTCAAATAATTTATGTCTAATCTCCCAAGAGATCTTTATTCTAACAAATAAGAAATATTTGCAAGATCATTTTCTTCTATTCAACTTATATGTAAAGAGTGGATCATTTCTTCTATTCAACTTATATAAAGTGTTACTTCCTTTGTTCCAATTTACGTGGCAATATTTCTTTTTGGTATGTTCCAGAAAAAATGCCAACTTTTCTAAATTTGGAAGAAATTAAACTTAAACTTCGCCTTTTACTCTTAATAAGAAGTTTTTATAGCCACACATATATCTATGATATATATTAGACCAAAAGCTTTAAAAGTTTCTTTATTTCTTAAACTGTGTGCTAATTCAAGCTTTGCCACATGAAGGGAGTATGTCAGGACCATTTCCTCTTAACTTGGAGCATGTACTTTTGAAATTGGCCATCTTAGACAAAATGCTAGGCAACACGAAAAGTGGAAGAAAGAAATCTAATTCAAGAGACATACATAGAACTAAGAAAGACCAAATTCAATTGCAGTAAGAATCAGAGTTTCTCTCTCTTTCTACCATTATACTTGTAATATCTGCTTATGCACACCAAGCTAAAAAATTTGTTTCATCTTAATGTGAGAGTCGGCTCAAGATTTTCTTTAATTGATCTTATTTCACATGTTCTCTAAAGGGGAATTCTAATAACAGATTGATCTTTGCTTTTAGTCCACAAATACAAGGACAAGAAGAAATCAGGGCACTATACTGTAACACAGGGACCTCATAATACAGCCACTACACTGAAGAGTCCATCAGCTAACTAACTTTGAAAGAGATGTCCAAACCAACACCACAGCAAAAGATTGAGATGTGAAGACAAAAGCAAAAGAATCCACAGTTTTGAGACTTGTTATAGTTACAAACCTGTTTACAGGGTTTTTCCCTTTTAAGACCTAAAATTAGACAATAATCATCCCTCAAAGGGCTAAAATGATCAGACAACATACGCAGAAAAAGAACACGAAGATGAAATACAATCAAACACCAACACCCATATATAAATAGAAATTCACTTTCTTAGAATATTAAGATATATCACACAAGCCTAATTAGTCAGGGGAAGTTTTACTGGTTATTCAGCGTATTGTTTCTATGCTCTTGCTCAGCTCCTCCAACTTCTTCAGTCGCAGTTTCTCGCTTTCACCCACCAACTGCACGTACATTGAACATACAAGATTCAGTGAGGTTATGCAAATCAAATATGTTGAGACAAGTTCCAAATACAAACTGGTTTTAATTGTAAACTCATACTCACCTCCATCAATCTTGTTATTAGCTGTACTTTTTCCTTGTGCTTTTCATTGAACGCCTCAAGAGCTTCTTTGTACTCTTTTTCCTGCACTCACAGATCCAAAACGTCTCTTAATGAACTCCATGGTAAGTTAACTCTTCAACCACATACTGGCATTAACTAACTCTAAGGGTTATTATTACTAGGATTGACTTATTATATGATACGCAATCTAATGAAGAAAATATATTTCACCTTCTTCTGGCAGGTCTGTCCCAGGGGTTTTAACTCTTTGTTGACAGCATCAATCTTCTTCCGAACGATTTGAACATCTTTCTTCTTTGGATCAGCTAATGCTTCTAGTTCCTGATAATTAAGTTGAATTTAAATAAGGTATAAGTTGGATGGAAACTGAGGTAAATCTTGATTTTAACATTCTCAAATACTTCAATTTCCAAAACTCATACTTATTTGCAACTATTAAATGGCAAAAACAATAGAAAAGCATAAAACCCTCATTGAAAATGACCAGTTTTGACAGATCAGAGATCTTTTAGCTTCAGGATAATTCCAACCCCACCCTCCTGTTTCATCCCCAATAAACCTTTTTTTAATAACAACCAAAACAAGGAGGAAAACCCATAAAGCAAATAGAAAAGAAGAGAGAAATTTGTGTTTCATTTTTAGCTGGTCAAAAGTTTGAGGCCAATTTCAAGATGGTGATAAGATAATCTGGCCTAACTTAATCAATCTTGAATTGTAAAAATATCCATTACCCCTAATTAAAATTTAAAACCTAATTTTAAAAAAATATCCAAACCCAAATCTGTGTTCGTAACATAGCAACAGTAGTCTAAAGATGTTCTACTGTCAAGGTCCAAAATGGAAACCCCTAGCTACAAGCAAAAATCAAAAGAAAAATCAGCACATGTGTTTATTTCCAAAAAATGCACCACAAAGAAAAATTCAACTTTTAAAAATTACATTCCAGTACTACATTAAAACCCCAAAAAGAAAATTAGCATTAATGTTGAGAAAAAGGTACTGGTATATTAGAGGTGAAAAACAAACAAAGAGAAAATAAGGAAGAAAATGGAGAGATACCTCACGAATAATGGCTAAACGCCGAGTTTCTTCTTCGACCCGACCCAACTGAGCTTGAACTCTTTCTTTGACTTCCATTTTCTTTTTCTCAATCTCTTCTTCTTTAGCTTTGAAAGTAGAAAGAGCAGACCTTGACATCTCTTCATCTTCTTTAGTTAAAGTCCCATTAAAACTCAAAGACCCTGAAATTTGCCCTGATTGCATCAGTGTTTGTAGCTGTTCACTTCCTTGCTTTTGATTTGGCATTTCTTCTTGTTTTCTTCAACTTCACAACAACAAAAACAAAAAAACCCTTCTTGTTCTTCAATATTTTTCACTTTATCTTTTGCTTTTTTTGCTTTGCTATAATGAAATGGACCCTTTTGTTTACTGTTGTAGGTGCTTAAGAACAAAGGGCAGCAGGCCTTTATTGTAAAAAGTTATCAACAGCACACTGCTAAAGTTTTGTTTAGTATTTTTAGGACCCACTAAAGGGGTGTAAAGGAGAAATACTTGAAAATGTGGGGTTTTTTTTGTAAATAGTTCTCTGGATGGTACTTGAAAAGACACAGTGAAATGACCCAACCACTACCCACTCCTAAAAAGAACATGGATTTTTATGTCTACTCAATTTCAAAGCTTGTCTCCACTCTCCACTAGAAGCTATGGAAAAACTTGGAGAAGTAATGGTAAAGATTTGTTTTATACAACACTATTATTACTACTTCAAGAATTGAATAACTTTTTCATTTTGAATATAACTTTTCCAAATATTAATTATTAAAAATTCTTATTATTTCGTTTAAAAGGTAGCTCGGTGCACAAAACCTTCTCTGTTCGCGCAGGGTTCGGAGATGGAGTGTGATATAGGCAACCTATACTTAAAAGACATCTCGAACCCGCTATTTACAGGTCACACAAAGACAAATTGACTATTAATTTTGTATTAAAAATAATTTAATTTTGAACTTCTTGTTTACTCTTTGTGATATAATTTAGGGAAATTGAAATTAAAGAATTAATGTTCAAATACTAATAGTTAGTCATTTTGACCATTAGATTTCGAATCCGTTCAATTTTAGGACAACAAAAGTAGTTTTACAATAAAAGACAAAGATCATCTCGTTTTAGTTGCTCAAGTCCCTCTATCCATCGGGAAATTCGTTCTCGTTATGTGTCTCTTGTATTGGATATATACAAGCTACATGTCCAAGTTTCATGTACAAATACGTCAAAACAACAAATCTAAGACTTCGTTACACCCAAAAATTATTATCTCCTCCGTCTCAAAGTAGTGGTTATGTTTCTTCTCAAAAGTCAAATATATGAATTTTGATTAATATTTTAAAATAAGTTTTTATCATATTTAAATGAAAAAATTGTAACTTTTAGTACTTTTTATATAGGTTACAAATATCTAAATTTTAGTTTTAAAATAGTGTGTTGATCTAATCCAATCTAATTTCGAATATTAGTCAACTTGATTCTCGAGAAACAAAATATGCTAACTAATTTGGGACAAAAAAAAAATTATTATTGCTATCTAACCTTTCAAGCAGTTTCTATAAATACTAATTCGTTTCCATAAAGAAAAAATGATAGTAATTAATTTTACGTTTACTTTAGATGTGTTATGTCATGGGCGGCTTTCCAGCCATGCCCCATGACCCCTTGGGCGCGCCCCGTGGCGTCCTAGCGAACCTCCCAATGCCTAGCGCCACGGACGGCCCCGTGGTCTTGGCCGCGCCAAGTGACAAGCGCGCAGGTGCCTCTGTCGCCCCACCG